GAGACTTTATGGAACTTAGCTACCAGCAGTAGCCTTTGAGCTCAATGATATGAGACTCCAGCTATCGGAAAAGGTAGAGTGCTAGCCCGTATGTTGGCCAATATACAAAAACCTAGTCACGGGGGTGTGACCTTTGAGTGTTCACATCCAATTATATGTTATTACCCCACGTGTGTATAAAAACCTATAAATGAGATTTCATATGAATACAATATATCTTTGATAAATATTTTTGATGATTTGACACGAAATGATTTTGAACCATTCGATTTGTGATATATGATGTGTTTTATGATATGCATGTGTTTTGAAGAAAAAAGCATTGCATTTTATGATGAATTTGAAAGTATCATCGTTAGTCTATTTCCCTTTCATTAGTATGTTATATAATGTCTACTCATTGAGCTATAGATTACTCCCTCATTATTTCGAGTCTTATAGGATATTGAGAGATTACACATTGCTTCCTTTTGGTTGATTGAGTCAAAGTCGGCACTTTGGTTATACGACTTACTTTAATTTTAATTTCTTAGAACCTATATTTATTTTAAATTGTAATCTTAGAAGCTCTATGATTATAACTATAGGTATTATATTGGAATTGATTATGAGTATTGAACTATAGGTTGTACTAAGGTTATAAGAAATATTTATTAAGTTATGATAATGTTAATTAAAATTATAGTTGAGTGATATTAATTTGAGGACTATAATAAGAGTCCGATAAGGATTTGAGGATTTTAGTTTAGCATCCAAGGCTTGCTTGGATCGAGGTGGGCCTTACTCGTCCCTTCGATTCTCACACCGATCATGGCCCACTCTCGTGGTCATGACAATAGGTATTGCAAGGAATAAAGGATCGAGGCCGCACTATAAATTTTAGGTTTAATGGAATCAAATAGATTGCTTGATTTGATGAAGAAAAATGATTTAGTTCCTAACCAGTGGACTTACTAAATTATAGACACTCTTTGTAAATCAAAACAGATAAAGGAACCTTGAGATTTATTCAATTCACTTAAGGAGAAAGGCATAAAGGAAAATGAAGTCATACACACTCGTGTTAATTGATGGACATTGTGAAGCTGAAAAACTAGATGAGAAAACCCATAAAACATGAGAAAAAAAAACAGGTAGTGATAGAAAGAGAGGAAAACTTATCGTTTGTTAACAACCAATTTTAATCCCTATTGTTTTTTTTTTGTTTTTTTAATTGCAAAAATACTAAAAATGATAAATAAAACAAAAATACCAAGTATATAAAAGAAAAGAAAAAAGAAAAAAAAATCAATTGGAATAATTAGCTTAGATTAGCTCTAGGAGAGGGTTAATTAAAAAAAAGTTTAGAAATAAAACAAAAGATAATTGAGGGAACAATTAAAAAAAAATTCAAAACTTCAATCCCCTATTTAAACTAAAGAGGGGCACAATTGAAAGAAATTAAAAAAAAGTATTAATTAATTGAGATTTAAGGACCTCATAAAAAATAATTAAATTCGAACTTAAATTGATGGATTATGAAGAACCGGGGGCCAAATTGGATTTTTTATTTAAAAAACCTAAAAAATACCTATAAAAGACCCTCATTTGCGTTTTTATATACCTTATATTGTTCACCATGTCCATGTTTTTTCCATCAGTCGACTCTCTCCTTCATCGAAACTAGAACAAAACTCCTCCTAAAAGCGTCCATCTTCCTCTCACTCGCTCCATTCGAAACCAATAACACAGACCATAGCTTTAGCTTCACCCCCATAGGCCAATCCGTAGCTTCAGCTCCACCCCAAGCCCCCTTGCGTGCTTAGCCTTGTAGCAGGCCAACACCCCAAACCCCTCACGTGCCCGACCTCATAGCAAGCTAGCACCACAACACCTCTTGCAACACTAGGCCTCTTCTCTAACGAGCATGTCGGGCCTTCTCTCTCTACCATTAGGCCCTCTCTCTTGTAGCATGCCAAGCTAAATCATAGGCGATCGGACCACAAGCCTCCTCTAGGCGACCACTAGTGAGCTAGTAGTCGACCCCGAAAGTAATAACCATAACTTCCATCCAAAAGTCCTTTAGGCTAGCCTTTTCTCTACTATTTTGAAAAAAAAATACATTACAACTATTATTAATGATTGCCGATGTTAGCATTGCAATCGGCTTTTCTATTTATGTGGCAAAACTATGTATGGTTTTAAAACAATTTTGCTTGTTTTCTCGTTTGCTCGAAATAAATCCGTCGGTGGCTTCCCACTTATGTGGACGAAGCCACCAATAGCTCTCGAACAATTTTACTTATTTTTTTATTTGAATTGAAGTCACAAGTGGCTTTTTATTTTACCTCTTTTCTCGTTTGTTTGAAGTAAAGTCGTTAGTGGCTCTTGAACCAAGTTATTTTATTTGTTTTTCTATTTGTTCAAATTGAAGTCATCAATGGCTCTTGAACTAATTTCATTTTACCCATTTTCTTCTTGTTCAAATTGAAATTGCTAGTAGCTCTCAAACCAAGTCATTTTACCTATTTTCTATTTGTTCGAATTGAAGTCGCCAGTGGCTCTTGAACCAATTTTATTTTACCTATTTTTTACTTGTTTGAACTAAAGTCTCTGTGGCTTTCGAACAAAGTCATTTTGTCGATTTTTTTGTTTGTTCAAATTGAAGTCATTAATGGCTCTCGAACCAAGTCATTTTATCTATTTTTCTATTTGTTCAAATTGAAGTTGCTAATGGCTCTCAAACCAATTTCATTTTATCTATTTTTCTACTTATTCGAATTAAAGTCACCAATGGCTCTTGAACCAAGGTATTTTATCTATTTTTCTATTTGTTCAAATTGAAGTTGCTAGTGGCTCTCGAATCGATTTCATTTTACCTGTTTTCCGCTTATTCGAATTGAAGTCGCCATTGGCTCTCAAACCACATCATTTTACTTGTTTTATGTTTGTTCGAAATGAAGTCTCCGAGTGGTTCTCGAATCAATTTTATTTTATTTTTTTCTATTTGTTCGAATTGAAGTCGTCGATGGCTTTTGAACCCATTTCATTTAATTTTTAAAGCCATTTTACCTATTTTCTATGTATTCAAATTGAAGTCGTCAATTGCTCTTGAACTAATTTCATTTAATTTTCAAAGTTATTTTACCTAATTTATGTTTATTTGAATTGAAGTCATCAATGGCTCTCGAACCAATTTCATTTAATTTTTAAAGGCATTTTGTCTATTTTTTGTTTTATGTGAAACGAAACTCGCCATCGATTTCAAGATAATTTTACTTGATTGTCCGTTTGTTTGAAACGAAGCCGCTAATGTCTACCCACTTATGTGACGAAGTTGTTTGTGGCTTCTAAACCAGCTTGTTCACTCCTTGCTCGAGCCAAATAAGGTGGTCAATAACTTTCTACTTCGTGAAGAAGTTGTCGGTAGCCTCCCAAATTCATGACTTGAAGTCGTCGGTGGCTTCCCATTTGTGTGAATGAAGTCGTCGGTGATTTATCGCTCATGCTAATAAAAGACTATCCATCTTTAGAAACTCACCTACTTGGTGGTACGAGTCGTGTTTGCTAAAGATTAGTCGAAATTTCAACTTCCTTCATTTTTCCTCTCCGAGTAGGGGTTATTGGCCTTAGACGAGCCTCGAACCTCAAAACTATTATGGTTTACATCCAAGCCCCCAAACTATCATATTTTTATATTTTAACAAATTAAAATTATTTAAATAGGCACGAAGCATAACATGGTAAAGAATTAGATTTTTATTTTCACATACAAATAATATAGCCTACCTTAGGTAAGATGGGATGACGGTGATGTTATATCTTCTTCATACATAATTGACTCCTTAATATAGATATTTATAAAGACCAAGTACATTTAGAGTTTCCTAGTTCTCTTTGATTAGCTAGGTGGTGACTCCTTGTTCACTCTTCGCAGGGGCCAACGTCAACATAGTTGAAGATTCATGGGTTCTTGTTCATCGTGCACAAAGAAGAGAAGAAAATTGAAGTTCTTGTTCGTCGGACAAAAAAGATAAGAAGATTTGGGATTTGCTTCATCTATTGGATAGAGGAGAAGAGAATGAATTAGGGATTTAGTTTTTTAAGAATTGAATTGAATTAGATTAGTTAGTTCTAAGAATTGGTTTTGAATAAGTGGGCGGACGACATGTCATCCATCATAACTGAATTATAATTGTTATCCATGTGTTATCATATGCGAACTTTCATCCAAGGTGTCATCTTACTTGTCATGCCATATCATATGAACTCGAAATCTTGGACGGAAAATGGCTCTTGTGCTAAAATTGTTATCGAAATATAGTTCATGTATTTTTCTTACACTTTTGAAAGAACATGTCCGAAAGATTAAAAGATATATAGTTCGTGCTTTTATGGTACAATAAGCCTTTTATTTTTGTTAATTTCAATTATTATTTTTTCTTTACTTTTTGAATAATATTGACATATTTCATAAATTTTTGGGATGAAATTAATTTACACACCTAATGTAAATGGATGAAGGGTGAAAATTGAAATAAAAGTAAAAGATCTAGAAGCTGATTACAAAAAAATAAAAGAGTTGAAGCTGATTAGAACAAAAATAAAAGATTTAAGATTTAATTAAAACAAATTAAAAGTTTTAGATGAAATTGAAAAAGCACAAAAATCACAGGATGCAAATTGAAATTTAACCTATAATTAATAAGAGCTACAAACCAAGAAAGGAAATCAACATAAATAAGGACAGAAGATCCCACTTTCTAATCATGAGAATCACAGGAGAAGAACCAGTACAGCCTTGTCAGCAGAAAGGGTTCTCTCGTAACCCCATCCACATTACATCCATCCAGGCCAGTACTCAATATTGTTTATCCTTTAGGCATGCTGCTAGGTTGCTTCTACTTATATTTTGCCAATCTAAAGTTATTCTCGATGATCTCATATATCAATACCAAGTATATATGTAGTCAAAAAGTTGTAGAATCCATTAACTTCATATGATATATATATAGCAATAACTAAGTTTTTCTGTTGTGAATTGGTGGCGTCCGATGTGGTGGTTCATAATCTGTCACCACTGCATCCTCTTGTGCTTTCTTCTCATCGGAATCTATGGCTTTCTTAACATTAGAGGAACCAAATCCTACTACGGATAGTGCTCGCTTTGTCGAATATCCCTACATCAACAACGCATAATAATTTCCATGTTAAATATTTTTGGGTGACACTATACCAACTTCAATGATCAATTCTATATCTCTAGCATATATAGTAATTAGTAAATTGATATCAATTGTTGTGAAAGGTCTTTCATTTGTCGGTGAAGATGATTGGTCAATGACGACTATTGAGTTCCTTTTTTATTTCCCTCTTTATGAACGAAATTTATCAAAAACCATAGTAGCCAAGATAGCCGCATCAGACACCAAAATTGATAATAAAACATATATATGCTATATATCCAATTGCACACTGCACAGATTTTATTTCAAAAGTGCTTTACTAATTAATTTTCTACTACTTCATGCAATGTAGCCCCACTTATTAGCACATATTCATGCATGGATCAATTGCCCTCCTCACTCTCATCATGGACAAGATGAAAGTGATGGTTCATGAGCAACTGGTCATCTTCTGCTCCCCTATAAGCATTTAAACCCTAGCTACATCCTTCACTGTTATTGCATCAAATAATTGTTTCACGCCAAGCTCAAGTTATTAAAAAAGTTTTAAAGTAATTTTATATTATTTTTTGATTCTTCGTTTAAGTCCACTACTATTTTGTACTTATTTTTTTGAAAAAATGGATCCACTACTACTTTCTATTATTTAAAAAAATAATAATAATGATAAGAATAGAGATTATGAGATTTAAATATTTTAATGGTTTAATCATCAAATTTTAATACCATATAAAAAAAAAATTCTATATATATATACACGTCAAAAACAATAAGTATCATTACCTCTATATTTGTTGCCTTAAGCGATACCACATGGGAATTAGGAGACTTAAAAATCTTATTACCTGCATGTTCCATTCCTATCAGAAAATAGCGTTTGAAAACATATTGGTACTACTAATTAATGACTATGTATAAGAAGATAAAACAAACAGCATCAGCGACAATAATGGACGGTATCATATATTTTTCTGTCCAAACCTGGGTAATAAATTAAGTAATATTTCATTAAAAAAAAAAAAATTAAGCAGTATATTACCAGGCAGTCTTTGGTTATAGCTAGGCAAAGAGCAGTATAGGAAAATAACAATCCTACTACGTACTTTCTTACCTAGAATAATAAAAGCTCAAAACGGTATATCTAGTAGAATAGCTTCAAAAAGAAAACTAGCTTCTCAGATTTGCAAGGACATAAAATGTTAGAAATGGCCTAATTTGTTAAGGACTTGAGTGCTCGGGCTGTATGGAATGGGTGCATGTCTTGCATTCAACAATAACCAGCGCTGCTCGGTGTAAATAATTTCATGTTTTGCCAATGCTCCTAGCTGGCTGCGGAGTTTGGTCTGAATTTTTATAGAATTTAATAATTGTGACTGAGTTCCATACAAAAGTTTCAAGTTTTGGGGTTGTGTGGTTGAGTACTCGAACAGCTTTTAGCTGGTACGTACAGGGAGGAAGGAGGCAGGTTTACATATATATCCGGCGAAGTAAGTGGGCTATATATATTTTGGATACCTTTGTTATCATATAAAAAAATTGTGGGCATAAATGCATAACATAAGAGTGAAAGAGAGAGATGGATCAGTTATGAGAAGGTGTTCGTGTTCTAGGCATAGCATAATCTGAGTTAAACCCAGGAATTTGATGGCGGTTCTTGTGAGGCGCACCCCAAGGAACTGAAAATAGAGGCTTGATGGGATTTTGATCATGACCTGAACTTTTGGTAATAGCCTTTGAATCCTTTGATTCTTGAGTCAAAATGGCAGCACCAGGAGCACTCTTTTCACTGATGCCCTCTCTATCATTAGTTCCATAAAATGAATCCATGTTGTGTTCAACTTTCTCTCCAACCTGCAAGCACCAGACCCCAAAAATTAAAATTACACGCACAGGGGGTGAATGCAATATCTAATTAAATAATCGATGATATATGTGTTAATGGAAGTGTTGGATACCGACCTTGGCGGAGAAATAGAGTTCTGCATGAAAACCCTCCTTCACTAACCCAATATTTCGAGCATTGCATATTGCATGCATGGAAAGAGACAAGATAAAAATGATCAAAAGTGAGGATTTGAATGACATGAGTCGTAGAGAGACAGGAAAACTAGAAAGGTGAGTTATTTAGTGCGTGGGAGGTGATTAAGAAGTATTATATATGATGGGATGTTGAAGACTAGCTATTTATATTTGTATTCAAAAATCAAAAGTGTTTGTAAGGCCCAAACAAAGAGACCTGTGGGAAGGAAATTTGACTACTGATATGATGAGACTTGAGAAGAGGAAATCAAAGGCCGGTATGGTGGCCTTGTCCCCTTTAACCAGTTACTTTCTCGACAAGGGTCCTCCAAAGTACAGTAGGCTTCTCCGTTTTAAAAGAGAGTGAAAGAACAAAATATGAGGAGTTTCGTGAAAAAAAAAAAAAGGCAAAACAAAAGAAAAAGCCAGAAACACTTTCTAATATCTTTCTCGATTTATGCAACAGTCAAGACCTTTGCTTCGTAAATTAATCGGCACCCACCCAAATTTCATATTGATGGATCCTTCGTAAAAGTCACTAATGTAGTTTTAAGCAATCGGGATCAATTTTTAACAACATCTAGCTAGATTAATTAAAGGATCTTATTAAGAAAACGAATACATAAATAAGTAAAATTCAAAGGGCTGTTATGTAGTCAAAAAGTACATTTATCCTAGTAAAAAAATATTACGGGAGAAGCAAAATATGCGCATGTAAGTGGAAGAAGTCAAAGAGAACAAAATGTTAGGATTTCAAAGCTCTAGATCTGATGAGCCTGCCCATTTGTTAATTTCTTAATTACCAAATAACTACAAATCTTGTCGTCTGATCTCATGCTTGTGGCTCCGTGTTTGCAGCTCTTGCCTCCTATGTTACCTTAAAAAAACAAAAACAAAAACCTACCAGCTGTCTTGAATGTTATATGTAATTTAATTTTAGCTGCTTTGTGGCAATAAATTATCCTGCTGCATTGAAATGGTTGGTTGTCTCTTGAATTACTTTCTTTCTTTCTTTCTTTTAATCTTTAAGATATCTCACATTTAAAAATCCAAACTAATATCAACAAGACAAAATGGATACTAAAACCATCTAGTTAAATGGTTAGGGTTACTTTCAAACAAGTATTTATGGGTGAAGTATTTTTTTAGTATTTTTTTTTTAAGTTATCACGTAACAATCAACTTCCATGACATGACATGCAAAACTCAAGACAAAATAGGAAAAGGAAAATGAGCAGTTACCATCGTATTTGTGCCTCTAGTTAACCTTTGCCTTAAAGATTGGCCCGAGTTGTACAGAAACTACTACGTGAGTTGGTTTCCTCATTAGTCCATACAATATTATTATATGGTTAATCTCGTATGATTTATATATGCGAGTGAATTAAGTCAACTAACAGCAGGTCTGGCCCATGTAATGTAATAATTTATTACGGTTTTAAGGTTCTGACCAAGATTTGAGACATCAAGTTCCGATCTCATAAACTTGGTGATTCGTTAGTTGGTAACTCGTATTATCTTATTTGTATGTAGCTTTGTTCCATTCAGTACATCATAATAGACACTTGTTCCACAGGAGAATTTACGGGTTGATCTCAGGGAACCTCACTGATCAATGATCATATCCATTCGGTGATTGTTCATTTACCTTCAGAGTGTTGATATTTCTCTTTTAAGATATTAACAACGAAACATCAAGGAATTGACATCAAGGAATTGTCAAAGTCCTCATCTAAAGAATCCAACTGCTTTACTCGGACAGAAATCAAGCGAAAAATGGAAATTGAAGACAAACCATTGGTTATTGATTGGGTTGCATAGGGTAAAGGCAGATTACTTGAATCATTGGCGTGAAACAGTAAGCAGAAACAAGCACAAGCGGCTGCAAAATTTCGATTGAAAATTAGCAATTGATGAGATGGTTTAGATGCATATCATTAACTTCCTCCTTATCTAACTGGAGCTACTTGATCAAAACAATAAACATTATTCATGATTGAACACCAAGTGTGCAGAACCAGGCTGTACAGCAGCATCCTTTGTAGCTTGGAGCAAATTGACTTCATGGGGTAAATTCTCGAGTCTCGCAACACAAATATGTACCTCAAACTGTCCATCTATTTATATGTATCGACTTTATTTTTCCACAGGAAACCAAGAAACTAACACTACATTATGCCTTCTTCCTCCCTTTTTCTTCTCCCTCTTGAGTACAAATGGCTTGGTATTTACAAATATTGAAGCTTGTGGATATTTGAAAAGGCAACAATGCAATGAGCAGAGAGCGGTCTGGGGTGAATTGGCAAAATCGTGCAAAACCCAAAACGGTCACAGATACTCAGTATATGGAAGGACAGGTTGACTGCTGAGCACATGAAACCATTACAGAACATTCATCTCACATTTGCAGAAGATTATTTACAGTAACAGTAGCAGAATTTGTTCGCTGCAAGTCCTGCAAAGTTATGTTGCATCGGTTCTTATTTAAACAGACTATAGAATACTATATTAAGAAAATGAATAGCTTCGAAAGTACTACATGCATACTAACAAAGTCGGAGTCCAGCCCTATAAAACCAATCTCCTAATTCATATAAATGAAAACGCTCCAATCCTAATTCTTTAAGTCAACATTCAAGAATGGGTTTCCAAAGCAAACATCTAACACTACAATATTGAAGGCTGGCAACCGAACAGAGAAGAGTTACATAGGATCATAACAGGTAGTGAAGCAATGCGGAAGAAGAGGACATCAGTAAAAATAAAGAAAGCACATGAAGGAGATGACAGTGACAAGTGACATCTTCACAGACATACTTCATCACTAACCACACAAAAGCATACACAAGGAACAAATTAATAACCTTGACACGTGTTAACAAAAGCAAATCCAAACAATACCTGGAGTATCAACTCATCTGGAACATGGGGCAAAACCTCCCGCACTGTCTCAGCCATGGCAAGTATGTTTGCTATGTTGTCGTTTGTGGCATGTGATGTGGTCCTCATATGCAAACCACCAGTGCCACCAGGGTGTCTTCCACCAGCAGCAGGAGGGATGGAAGAGGCCGATGGAGTTGCCTGAGATGGATTCATTGGCCAAAGGTTCCAAGCAGCATCCTCAAGGGCAGTTTGTGCATAAGTTTCTCCCACAGATGCAAGATGCCTCATCATCATCTGAACTCTACTCAATCCAACTGATCTCATTGCCGTTGACGGACCAGCCCCATCTACACCCTGGCTGGGCCAAGTGGCCAGCCAACTTGAATCCAATCCTGCACTTCTATGGTACAAGAAAGAGAGAGATCACAACCATTGAAGGAAAAATGGCACCAATCTTTGAAATCACAATCTGTGCAACGATCATTTGCCATTTTACTTAATATTGAAGGTTTTTTATAAAAGATTAGACAGACTCAATTAGATGCTTCAAACTGTAATATCAGCCAATGACTGACTAGGATTTAAAACTTGAGTCAGCATTCCAGGTTATCTGAACTCTGAAGTGTGCCATCTCTCTTGCCCTCCGTTTACTTCCTATGTAGAAGGACACTCTGCCCTCCGTTTACTTCCTATGTAGAAGGACACATGCATGTGTTGGAATTTACTTTTTCTGTTCTCTCAAGCATAATGCTTGGTTAAAGTCAACTTAAACATGGCCATGGGATCCAATAGAATACGACAGCCAGTCAGCTAAAGAGTTGTCACAATGTCGTAGTATCCCGAACAAATCTAGATTCAAGATTTCCAATAAAGATAGAACTCATGAAGGTTCACAAAGGAACTACTACTAGGTAACATGCTAACCATTGCTCAATAGCTGAATGTCCACTGGCTCTAGGGGGGTGGGGGTGGAGTTGGTTGGTTGGGGTGGTTTTTATTTTTCAGATAGAAAAGCAAGCTGCACTCGTTTCTTGCCAATCAAGAGAGACGGTAATGATCTAAGGTAAGAGTCCCTTACCTCCAAGGGCTGCCTTCTGTAGAGTTCCGAATCTGGTTAGGGAATACTCCAGCAGGCAGTACACGACCTGGAGTGTTTTGCTGATCAAGACCTTCGTTTATTTGATGAGCAAGTTGTTCATCTGTCAGACCTTCTCCAGTACGAGTATCTGCTTCAGTTTCAGGCCTGCCCACAAAAAGTGGCTTCCGACAAGTGGGGCATGAGTATATCTCATTTAAACCCTGATCCAACCTGGCATTATTGAGCAATATTCAGCATTTATTAAGCGTCATACACAATGAATTGTCAAAGCACAGTGCTCGAGCGAAAAGATTCAAAGTCATACCAAGATCTCAAGCAAGCAAGATGAAAAAGATGACTGCAATGTAGCCTTTTGGCCTTAGCCATAGGTTCCTGTCATTAGTCCAATTCATTACACTTAACAATCCAATGAAAAACTGAAAAGAAAGCAAGAAATGAGTTAAGCATACTCTACAGATAGCACATTCATCATCATATGCTCGTAGCTCTTCAGATGTTGCATCAGGAAGTGCTGCATGAAGGGCACCTAAAGCTATTCTAAGCTTGATGAATCCTTTTATACGCTTTATGATAGCATTTAGCAATGCCTGCTCAAATTACCAGAATACATCAAATCAGTGTGACAAAACAAATAAATTCATCTATACTAAACAGTTCCATATAGAAAGTACAACAAAATATTTACACAAATATTTACACGTATATTCAAAAAGAGGACCGCATCCACAAGATGAAATGCCACACCATGAAGCCACCAAATATGCACATAATGACCAAGTGCCATTAATAAGGTTGCCAAGTCTAGCAAAAAACCCAAATTTCGGATAAGAATGCCTTTGCACTCCAACAATGAACCTGCAGTCGCACTCCGTAATCAGGAAAATGTCATCACATTAAATCCACTAGAAGCATGGTAGAGTGGAATAAACTGGCAAATATGTAAAATGCAACCAGCAACCAGCATCATTAAAATCACATCTAAAGTGCCCTTAAAGCACACAATGTGAAAACCAAGGGAGAAGCACTTTCTACTTTATGGCAAAGGGCATTGATCTACGTGCAGTCTAAGCAAAAAAAATAAAAAGCACTCTTTCAGTTGAAGAGCTAAGCACCAAAATAAGTGCCTTATCATTTTCAATTAAGATTTTTAAGTTACTTGACCAATTTCGGCCATTGATCAACAACTTTTGATTAGTAATTGTTGACTAGTCACACAAATACACTATCCATTACACTACATAGAACTTTTCATTTATGCATATGCAAACACGTAAATAACATAGTAATTATACACACGTCCATGGGATCTCAAAGAGAAGACAAAAGTCTTTAACTGGACAACAACAGTGAAGTGTCAAGTGCAGATAAAATGCATCCCCCTTTCCTCTCTACGAATTCTATTTCTAGTACTAGTCCCTCACATTCACAAACACCATAATTGCACCCTATCTTTTGAGCAAACAGAACACATACTCATAATTATGTTCACTGCTTTGAATTTATAACATATGCATTGAATGTTTAGGTTGAAAATTTTAGCATTGCAATTTGGAAATTGACTTTGTTCAGGTAGCATCATCACTTTGTGCTGGGTCTCCAAGGTAAATTGCCTTTGCACCTACACTCTATAATATGCTGGGCATATAACAGAACTGCTGTCAACCACCCGATTCAATCTAAGATACAGACATTCATTTAGCAGAATAGAATTTCAGGAAGTACCTGCTCTTATTGCATCAAAAAACTTGAACCTTTGGCAATTTGCACTATTCCCAGCCGAATGATGGAGCCAAATCTCAAGCAACTGAAAACCATGAACCAGCATAGCCTACAGAGAATACAAGCTTGTCAAAATGAGCTACAGTCTCACTGAGATTTAAAATTTACGTAACAAGTTAATGTATCAAACTAAAGAAGAAGTTCTTCAGAGACATTACTTGCATGGTCTCAAAAGCAATACTGAAAGGCTCAAAGAACAACAACAGAAATATGGATGAACCCGTGCTTCTGTATATCACGAAACACATCTGTATCCTGCAAAAACCAAAAGGTTGTAGAAATAAAGTGCTTCTAAGGATTCCATTAACAGAGTCAAATATAAACATCTTCCACAGAAAAAGTAAAGCAATTTTGTCATATGCACCCATGTGAAAAATGTGAGAATTAGTATAATATCACCTTCCCCATTTAGACCTGTCATTTCAAAACAGATAATTTGCTTCTGATACAGGTGCAGCCCCTCATTGACCCCACTTAGGAACAGAATGTTTGTGGCAAATAGAGAAACTAAGCAACCCAATCCACCTCTGTCTCAGTTAGGCAACCATCACTACCACTCCCAACCACTGCTCCTCCAAAACCACCCACCCATTTCCACCAACATAAGCTTAGCACCAATAAAACAAAAGGAAAATTAATTTCATTTGTACAGTGGCAAAGAAAAATGTTCTCTCTTGGTCGAAACATATTGTGCTGTTCTCAGGTCTTCTACTTCCCAATGTGGTGTCTGATTGACAATTGTACATTATTTGATATTTCAAACAATAATGAGATCAGGTTCTCATTGAGCTTTATTGCCAATATCATAGAAAGAAGGGCAAGAAGTGCATTTCCTAAATCATGTTTATCAATAAAAATTAGGTTGCCAAAGAGTACCAGAAAAAGTCAGCAGAGAGGACCAGCAACAATGCTGAATAAACACGAAAATATGTCCATGGTGTTGCAGAAGGAGATGCATTCAAACGTTCAAGTCGATCTCTAGCTAATGCTTGAAACATCTGTTATCACCATGCAAAATCCCAGCAATTTTATTACTTCTGTGATGAAATTAAAACAACAGATTTTTATTAAAAAGCAGTGCTACCAACCTTTAAAGAGCATAGAACAGTCAACCAAATTGACCAGAGACCTATTTGAGAAATTGTTGGCGGAATAACCAGTGGTAGAAATGTTCCCTGTGCAATATTCATCACAAACAAATACAGCAATTACAGAACTACGAAATAGAGTTTCAGAAGTGTAGCACCTTATCAAACTTCAATTCAAAGATACCCTATTCCAAACCAACAATCAAATCATCATCATGGGAATAATGCTTCCAATTACCAGCCAGATAGCCAATATTTGAACTTGACAGGCAGATTGCAAAACAATAGACCCAAAAGATTCAAAAAGAAAGAAAAATAACAGCAACTGCTAGATATTCTTGGCTCTGAGAAGTTGGTGGTGCAAAAGTAGGAAAAAAGAAGAATAAGGTTGAACAAACACTTAAAAGGGGGTTTAAATTGTCTTATATGGCCTTCTCTCACAATATTTTAGCTCATTCAATAAATCATGACTGCAGCCTAACAAAGAATTATTACAAACTCGATGAGCAACAGAAAGTGGAGCCTATCCAGTACTAATGCAAATAATAAAAAAATAAAACACTTCCGCCTAGTCACTTGGTTAGGATATTTACCTTATAAATAGCATAATTAATAAGCCGTTCCACTAGTTTTCGAGTTTCCGAAGAATACAACTCTCCAAAGAAAATAGTCTGCATGTTCAACAACAAAACCAGAACCATCAAAGCAATATTTAAGAAGGAAAATAAGTTCAACAATATGATAACCAACTAGGAATCATAGCCACAATTTCCATATTTGAACTGTCTTGCCCAAGTGACCTGGGCTAAATGCTATTAAAAAAAATGCAGGAAACTTACAGAAGATTAATGTAAATAATGCTTGGTAGGTTAGTTATGCCACTTTTAAGATAGTGAAACTTCAATTCAAACTTTCTGTCTGCGGGTTCCAAAAATATATTTTCCTAGTTCCGGTAGCCTTAACTTAGTATAAAGCCCATCACTCTGTTTTAAATAAGAAAAAGATTTTAATGGAAAAGAATGAAGCGGGAGAGAATATGACATCATGCAGTGCAAGTAAAGACAATCAAATCAGAAGGGCTTCCTGTGACAGATCTAACTTTGAAAAATACTCTCCTAAAATTACCTAATCAATAAATCATAAAGAGACCAAAAGAAAACATCCTATGTCCTCAATAATTGATCATTACCCATACAAGCCCACACAACAAGATGGCATCCTTTTTTTGTCAGGCAGCAATTATGTGGTAACTTGTTTTCCAAAGCAGTAGCCTTATTCCTGAAGACACATTACCCACACCATTTGACAAGAAATAACAGCTAACTATTATGCAAACTGCAGGAAATGATAGTATAAATTCATATTTCACCGTATTTTTGTGCAATGACTTAAAACTTAATTGAGATCCTCTTATGGAAATTGCCCAACTCGCTACATAAATCTCTGAACATAAATATTCATAAATCAATAGTTATAAAACAGAAACCATTTGGGAAAACTTCAAAGAACTCACCTTAAAGCAAAGATTGAGTAGTACAAATACATTGAATACAAAATTCACCAACAATGCAATGGTAGCATAAGAACCAAACAGAAGCTCAAGGGCACGGTTGACATTTTCCGAGTTGATAAAATTCTCGCCAATCAAACCATCCGATCTCAATCTATCTAATGACACTTCTGTCCAACATTGCAAACCCACAAAACTCAAAACCGTACAAACTGCCGAAATCGCTAAATAACTCACACCCATTTGTAAACAAAAACAGCCTCTACACAAAACCCACCTCCCAAAAATTCATGAGAACTAACTTAACATGTCTCTTCCCAACAACAATCACAACTTTACATTAAACCACAAGGAATAAAACCATCAAGTGACTCAATTAGCTTAAAACTCTGTCCAGATACCAATAAATTATATCACCAATCTACAAAACCCCCCACAAAAACCTGCAGAAAAATATATAATCAGCGATCAATCATTAATTTTGAAACAAAAGGAAAACCAATTAAAACACACACACGCAGACACACACACACACACACAAAAAGAACATAAACATTTCAATTCAGGTAACGTTTTCATTTTTCAGCATCAAATATTAAGAAAAAATCACGAACCCCATTTTATTTAGACAGACACGTTCAATAACAGAAAATGATCAAGTGTGGCAGATCAATTACAATTAATCAGATTTACGACCCAAATTAGGTAACAACAAAAAACAAAAACCCTAGATTTTTTATTTTCATTAATTTTTTTAATTTAAAAAGCAAAGAAACAGACTTGGAGAAATATAAAGAGAACCTGATTCGATCCAATAACGAGAAGGGGAGAAGTTGGCGTCGGTGGCAGAGAGAATAATAAAAAGGGCTGATTTTTTTAAGAGAGAAAGAGGGAGACAGGAGAGCGTCTGTTTTTGCGGGAAAGCAAAAGCGAAATGAAGTGCTTCATGTAAAGGATGTGTCAATACTTTGTCAGGATGTTTTTATTCATCCTTTTTCTTTGTAATGGCCAGTCATATGTATTTACTAAAATGTTGATTTAAATGTAGATGGTCTTCTTCTTTTTTTAACGGTAAATGATATTTTTCAACCATTTGTGCATCTGCTTTTTATTTGTTATTAATAAAAATATCATCGGATCATTTTATGCTTAAACTGGTATCCTTACCGACGACTGTTTACCATTTACAAGGACTCGTATGGTTCTTCTGACTTAACACGACGATGATGCTTTGTTTTTGTCCTTGCCTTGGGGTAGGTAGCTTGGAACGATGCTTGTTCTTCGTTCCGTATTTTGTTACTTACTTCAGTTTTTTTAATGGTAAGCTATACTCCAAACTTTCGTAATGTTTTAATTTGGAACTTCTATAGTTTAGGATTTCTTAGATGTATGCTGTAAGTTCAGTTCGTCCACGAGTAATTTTAACATAACTCGTTAAGAATAATTTTTTTTTAAAAAAAAAAGATTACATTGGATTGGAAGGGAAAAAAAGGAACTAAAAATTGCATGTCTGGCATGAAAAGAGAAAAAGCTTTTCTTTTCTAATATGTTTTAGATCATCGACTCAAATGCATATAACAAGAAAGATTTTATGTGAAAAATAAATAAGGGTTTTTCTTATTCTTTTTTAATTTATTCTTTGAAAACAAAAAACCTAATTCTCAAAAAAAAAAAAAAAATTGCTTTATAATTTTGTGAGTTGATGGAGAAATTAACAACTCATATCTCTACTTCAATATTCCTAAACGCTATCATGACTTTTCCTTTCACGACAAACGAAGAAATAGGAAGTATAGCATGATATTGCCACTAAAAAACATAACAATATCATGAATTATAAAATCTCATAGTCTAGACACAGCTCACAGTTTGGCTAGAAAACCATAAGGTTTCCATCAAAAAGAAAAGAAATTGAGTATGAAGGACTCGCAGACTTGACTAGTGGGCAACTTAGCTAGAAGAACATGGTGTTGCCATCAAAAATAAAAATAAAAAACTAAATACTCGTAGCTTGACTAGCAAGCAACTTGATCAGATGAACATAGCGTTGTTATTAAGAAAAACTAAATAGGAAATACTCACAACTTGGCCATCACACACCTTGATCAAATGAACATGACATTGTTATTAGAAATAAAAACCAAGTATGAAATACTCACGACATATCTAGCGTGCGACTCGATCGGATAAACATGACTTTCCAATAAAAAAAAATTGAGTATAAAATACTTATAGCACTGGCTAACGTATAACTTGACTAGATAAACATTCTATTGCAAAAAAAAAAAAAAAAATGAGTGTGAAATATTCATGCCACGGCTAACTTATAGTTTAGCTAAATGAGTATGACGTTGCCATCAAAAAGAAAAGCTAAGTATGAAATACTCACATCGTGGTTAGCATATAGCTTGATTAGATGAATATGACGTTGTCATCGAAAGAAAAACTTATTATAGAATACTCATAATTTCGCAAACGCACAGACTCGACTATATGAACATGACATTCCAATTAGAAAGAAAAAATGAGTTTAAAATACTCACAACTTGTCTAATGCGTAGTTTGACCACATGAACATGGCATTGTCATAAAGAAAAACTAAGTATAAAATATTTATGATATGACTAGTATGCGAGCTTAGCCGGATAAACATGATGCTACCATTAGAAAGAAAAAATGAGTGTGAAATACTCACGACTCGACTAGCTCACAACTTAAACAAATGAACATAATGTTGCCATCGAAAGAAAAAACTAAGTATAAATACTCATGACCTAGCTAATACGTAGTTTGGTCAAATGAACCTAGAGTTGCCATAAAAAAAGCCGAGTATGAAATACTCACGACTTAGCCACAATTAACCCATGTGTTTCTGCTAGAAGAGAAATTTTCAACCTTGTATTATTAGGACTTTAACATATCCTTTTATATATGTACAAGTATATTGTAACTAGAACTTTAAGTGATACAAGAGATAAGGATAACACAAAGGATAAGAATAACTAGATAGAGTCCTCGTAAATATCAAACTACCACGGTAGAGTTTGTGTCTTGCTTTTGTTGCTTAGTCTTAGTAAAACTCTGTCTCAATACTCCCCCACAAATTGACTGTGGACGGTCGACAACAGTGAGTTTGTCCCTCAAGAATTCAAAACGTGCGGTAGACAAAGGTTTGGTTAAAATATCCGCAATTTGATCCTGTGTGGAAATGAACTTTACTTGCAAGCTCCCTCGCAACCATGCCTCTAACAAAGTGAAAATCAATTTTCACGTGTTTAGTTCTCGCATGGAACACTAGGTTTACTATCAAATAAGTGGCTCCTATATTATCACACCAAATAATCGATTTGGGAGCCGGTGTGGCATCAAGTTCACCTAGTAACGATATGAACCCAAATTATCTCGACTGCTAGGTCGGCCACGGTTTTGTACTTGGCTTTGGTAGAACTTTGTGCCATGCTTTTTCTTAGAGGACCTTCCAAGTGATTAAATTCGACCACTAAGTAGACTACATAACCCCCTGTGGACTTTCTATCATCCAAAGAACACGCCTAATCCGAGTCCGAGAAACCTATGAGTAGTTGAGACTTGGATTTTCGAATGTGCAAACCATAAGTATAGGTGTACTTCAATTATCGCATAATACATTTTACGACCACCTAATGGTCTAAAGTAGGTTGGTGCATGAATTGACACATTTTATTCACGAGCATAAATAATATCCGATCTAGTCGAGTAGCATACTGGAGAGCACCCATAATCTATCTATATAAAGTCCGATCCGAAAAGGTTTGGCCTCTCCATTCTTTAATTTTGAAGCGGTGGGCATGGGTGTGGTGATGGGGCGATAGTCAAGCATTTCATGTTTGGCAAGAATATCATGTATATATTTCTATTGAGAAAGGATAATGCCCGTCGATGTTTTAATCACCTCTACGCCTAAAAAGAAGTTGATATCACCAAGGTCTCATGTGGCAAATTTTAAGTTCGGAGCATGGATTACCATTTGTAAAAAATGCGAATGGTCACTAGTGATGATAATGTCTTCGACATAGACTAGCAGAAATGCTCCGTAACCCCGGCTTTATAGATAAATAAAGAAGAATCAATTTTAGACCCCTCAAAGCTACAACCGAGAAGAAAGTCCTAAAGATAAGAGAACGAAGCCCGTGGGGATTGCTTGAGATCATAAAAGGATCGATGGAGCTTACGGACATTATCGGGAAATTAGGAGTTAACAAAGCCCACTAGTTGGGCCATATAGATCGCATCATATAATGTGCCATTCAAGAATGCATTGTACACATCTAGTTGCTTGATGGGCCAATTGTATGAAACTATTAAGGACGGAACAACTTTGATAGTTGGAGGCTTGACCACCGGATCGAAAGCTTTTCCAAAGTCAATTCCCTTCGCCGATGAAAACCTTTGGCAACTAACCTTGCCTTGTACCTTTCTATGCCGCCATCTCGCATGTTTTTTAGTTTTAAAGACCCACTTGTTCCCTATAATGTTCATGGACTATATAGGAGGGACTAGGGACCAAGTGCTAGTTTTTAGGAGGGCATTTATTTCAAACTCCAAAGCCAATCTCCATGCCGTATGGTTTTTAGCTTCGAGTATAGCAAGTAGGACTTTCCGGGATTGTTGAAGAAGATATTGCAAGGGAAGCTTTTGGTGCCATATGCTCGCAAGACCATAGGATAGGTTTGTTTTGGTTCCTCATTGGATGATGAATTCGTAGTACTACTCGCACACTCGGTTAGTCAAGTCATATTTACTAAAATCTAACTATAAATTTATACTCGATGTGTTGGAGGTGCGACTTAGGCTTTAGGAATAACGAGGTGGGTTATTGAGGTTGGGGATAATAGGAGGTAGGGTGTCCGTTTGAGGTCGTCGTGGTTTTGTGGGGATGGCACTTGAGGGTGTGGAGAGGATGTGAGTTGTCCATAGGGGTTTGTATAGGTGGGTTTTAAACCGGTTGACCTACAAGGATAGTGGAGTGATGCCGACTGGGTTAGAGAGATGGAGTGGGTCGGAGAGGGACACCGAGCCACGAAAGTGAGACATTAGACGAAGTTGGGTGTGTGATAGAAGAAAAATTTTATGCAAAAGGAAAGATTGACTCAACAAACCGAACATGACGAGCAATGTAAAAGCGATTTTTGGTTTTGTCAAAACAACGATAGCCCATATGTGATGGGATATATCCTAAGAAGATGCAAGGTGCGGATCTAAAG